ATAATCTTTCGCAGCGAGATTGATAAATGTCGGTGAATGATCTTCCGACGAATGAAATGATACCGAGGGGAACTGAGCTGCTTTGATTTAAGAGAGAGCGAGAGAGAAAGGGAGTATATGAAGAAAATGATATTTATTACAAAATATAAATATTGTTCGTTAAAAAAATTAAAAAAACTCTGTTAAATAAAATCTTACATTTTTTTTATCTTTCGATTTTTTAGTATGATTAAATAATCGTGAAAAGAAATCTACACAAATCCGTAATTAATTTCATTATCTTATCTCTTCCGTTAGCTATTTTTGTGTAGATATTTCAAGCTCCGGAGGGCGAGGAAAAAATATATGTGCGCAAGTGTGTTGGCGTAACAGCGCGCGGATGGGTAAGGGGCGAGATTGGCTGGAGAAAATTTAGTCATTCTTAAACGTAATTGGCTTACCGATTATTACCGTTCGAAAGTCGTTGAGTCGCCTCTCTTCTCTGGAGTCTGTGTGCCGTCCACTTTCATGCGGATTCGTGCACGAAAGACACGCTCGCGTCATTGTGAAGAACAACGGGCGTCCCGCCCTGACCATGAGGCGCACGAGTGCAACGGCGCGTAGGGTGTGCACGCAGCCGTGATGTACATTAATAGGCGCGTGTGTGCGTGTGCGTGTGTGTGTGTGCAGGTTGTGTGCCTGAGTGGACGACACACGTGCTCGCAAGTCCCTGAGCGAAAGAGACCGCTCATATTCTAACGCACACCGAGGAGCTCCCACAATCAGTACACGATCTGTCTGCGGTTTGTACACGGTGAGCCTATTAACAAAAGAATCGTCGCCTTGCCTTTAAATATACGACTTTACTTCTCCCAGATTTATGAAATGAATTTTAAAAGAATAATAACATTCGATATTTTTATAAATATAAATCGATGTGAATTGTTCGATAAAAATTAATCTCGAATTTAAATTTGTTTGAGATGGAATGAGAAATAATGTCTTGTGAACTTTAATTAACTAAAATAATATTTTCAATTAATTAAAGTTTTAAATATAACTTGCAACTCTCAGATTTTGCAATCACTCGTAATTGCAAAATCTCTGATGTTTATGTTGTATTAGGAACAATTTTATTTTCCACATATTTTTTTAGATTTATCATTTAATACAGAAAGATATACATTTTAGACAGTACGTCGTAAACAATATTAAAACATTGAATATTAATTGAAGACATAGTAGAGAGAAGCTTAATAAAATAAACATTTAGTATTAAAGAATTATAATCACAAAGTACTAAATAATAATAATTTATAATTCGATCTTTCTTATTTGGAAGTATATAAATCTATATGTATAGCTCAATATTAAAGAATAAAAATTGTTGAAAAAAAATTTGCATAAAAATACAAAAGAATTATCTCATAATTCGATCTTTCTTATTTTGAAGTATATAAATTTATGTGTAGTTCAATATTTTTTAAAAGAATAAAAATTATCAAAATAAAATTTTCAAAAAAAATATAATTTTTAATTTGAATCGGCCAGATCCAAGCCTTTCGTTCGGCGTCACCAAGTATGCACAGGTATCAAGAGAGCCGCGCACGTGTGGTGTGCACGCCGGCACACGCACACGTGTGTTACGCCTAACACACGACAACGTGAACGTGAAGCCCGAGAGTAGGGCCTTTCAGTCCATGCCGAGACTGCGCGCAGTGTAGATCCCGCGATTTCCGAAACGGAGACTCGGCCGTCGCAATTGAAGAAAGTCGGAGTCGCGCGTGATTGCGAGGATCAGTTTCGCGTCGCCGAATGCGGAGGATCGAAGGACGATCGATGACCCTGATCGATCCCGCGACGCGCTCGATCGGGGATCAACCGGCAATTTTTCCGCCTATAGAGATGCTCGCACACGTCATCGGCTTCTACTTCTACGCCGAATTGATGCGCCTGGAGTTGGAAATGACGATACAGCCGAATGAGTGCAAATTTTCTAAATTTGTTTTGTGAAAAAGAAGTTATTGAAGCTCTGTAAAAAATAGTGTCAAGGAAGAAGGAAGAATGATCATAAAAAATTGTGTGCCGGCGCTGGAAAATAATTCTACATCCGTAAAGATAGTATCTTCCTGAATTTGCATTGATTCCCATAAGATTAATTCTAAATCTGGGAAAATCATCATTCATCCAGAGGATTACTGGATTCCTTAAATGTTTCTTCTAAAGGAAAATTGTTTGGGCAAAACTTATGTCGAATTATTGCGACTGGAGTGAATGATACAACTGAACGAATGTAAGCTTTCCAAATTTGTTTCGTGAAAAAGAAGTTACTGAGGCTGTATAAACAGGAAGAAGGAAAAATCGTGAAAAACCGTGCGCTGGAAAATAATTCTACATCCGTAATAATGGTATTTTTCTGAATTTGCATTGAAGATTAATTTTAAATCTGGAAAAATAATCATTCACCCAGAGAAGAACTAGACTTTTAAAGTTTTTCTTATAAAAGAAAATTATTTGGCTCAAACTCACAGAATTTGCTCTCATAAAGGATGTTGCGTCGAGACAGGGGAGATTTAAACTTCCGATGACATTATCTGCGATGGCGGGATTTGATTCCCCACGGTCTCTGTGTGATCGATAGTGATTTGCATGAAACTCCGTGGACGCCGGCAAATGTTAATTACGCTCTTCCTATAAAGGAAGCTTTATTAAAGGAACTGTCCTCTTCCGGGATTATACCGCCTTATCGATCCTGCATTAGATTATCCTGAAACAAAGACGTTGGAACAATCACAGTGATAGTGTGAATTAAATGAATGTAGTTATGACGCGCGAAGAGAAACTTTCTAAGGATGTGTAAAAGAAGCGTCAAGAAACGTCAAGAAGTGCGAGACTTTTAATATATCCGTTTTCTCTGAAAAAAAAAAACTGAAAAGTTTTCTTGACGAGTTAATAAATTATTCTTTTCTGTTTTGTCGAGAACTTCACTTTCAACTGCGTCGCTTTTTGAAGTAATTCAGGGTTAAACAAAGTGACAAGGGTCACTCTATGTTCACTCTGTGTAAAGTATTCCAGGAATTCCCGCGAGGCGGGAATAGACCTTCCGCGTAAGACTTCGTTCCGAAAGATATCCACAGTTTCGTCGAAGTTCCTCAAGGCTCTCCTCGATCGGACAAGTTTCGTCACGTTGATATCCAGCGTCATAAAATACCTCGGAGGCGATATAAAAATTTGGTGGTGACGTTAAGAGCCGATGTCACAATCTCTCATCGTACGTTACGAGCTGACGCTAACGAAGCAGCCAATTAGGCATCTCACCGGTGCATGGTTTTACATATACAAACATATGCAAATATATATATAAGGTGGCCGAAAGAGAGTGTATCGGCGAGCGCAACGTCCGGCGCGGCGTGGCGGCGCGTGTAAAAAAAAAGGCCTCGTAAAATCGGGCGCATCCGGGCGATACGAGAAGTGAAAGTGCGTTTTGCACAAGATGACGGTAACCCCGGGATAACGGCGAACGCGACAGCCGCGGCATCATCAGTGCGTCGCAGCGACGAGCGACAGTCGCACCGCGGCGTCATTGCGACAATTTCTGCTTGAAGAGGCTGATGCGAGGCTGGATTTTAATAGCCACACGTTAATTCGTCAGACTGGAAAGTTCGTCATCGTCTTTAACGATTCATGACATCGTGACACGGTGCGCGTGAGCGCGCGCACAACGCGCGTTATGCTCCGGTTTTCTTCAAGGCCGCTGTCGAGGGTGCGCCGAGGGAACGGAAGAAGGAAGTGGGGTCCGACCCCGCGGAACTGATGTTACTTCGCGGTTGGTCTCGTCGTCTTCCGGCTGCCACGTGGACGGCTGCGGGGAAGACATGGAGACTATATTGAATTGTAATTGCAGATTGGATTACACGGTGGCTTGCACGATGGGAGATGTAATTGAATTGGTTAGAATGCGCGCGACGGAATGAGGAATTGATGCTCGGAGTTGTCCGTAATTGGCGTGACGAGGGTACACCGCGTGACAGAGATGCTTTTAAGCCGCGCTTTCTTCCTCGACAGTTTCCATGAAGATTTCATGCGTTTACGAGTTGACGTGATGGGCATTTAAGTTTTCTCATCTAGAGCGGTAGAAAATGAGCAAGAGCTGCTTATTGTCTATCATTAAATTCTTTATTAAAAAGCCGAAAGGTCTGAATGACCAACCTCCTCTTGTGTTTAACGTATTTGGACGACATTTCAGAATTTTTAAATCAATGCAGAGAGTTAATATTAATATTTAAATACCATTTAAATACTGTATGTAATAACATGAAAGAAACGATACCAAAAAAATTTCTTAGTAATATGCATAATTGCGTCTATGTTTAAAAAAAAGGAGAAAAAGAAAATACATCGCTCCGTTTCTCAACCATCGAGCCTAAAAAAAAAAATAAATAAATTTTTCTCATTCTTTACGAATGTGGTCGGTCGTGCAGGAATATCTAAAACACGAAAATTACAAAATAACGGTGAGAAAATCTCGCATTTTTGCAATTATATTGTTGTAATAAAAAAAGAGCTTTTATTAAGTGTTGATGGTTGAAATGCAATTGAGTTATCACTCTGTCGAGTCAATTTACTTTGGAGCAGCAGTAACATGTTCGAACGTTTATGATCACTACATATCAAAATGCACGAGTCATCACACGCTTGTCGTTGTTTTGCTCTCGATAATGTCATATCGTTACCGTTACACTCATCCATGCCGTGGCGCGCCTTTTCGTCAGTCCCCCGACTCGTTATCTGTGCGTAAATAGAAAGATGTCGTGCACCTCGCTCAGGGAAGAGATAAGTGTTTCCGGTCGTTAAGGCCTGACGGACGGGGAACGGAACGGTGTGTTTTTCTTCCTCGTTTTTCTTTATTTTTTTTTTTTTTTGAAGGAACGATACTCCCGGCGTTTTCGGTCGAGCGAGACTCAACGGCGCCGAACTCGACGCGACGCATTCTGAACGTTCTTTTTTTGCCTCTTTTTCAGACCTGAATCTGTGGAACAAGAGTATCAGTCAGCGCTGGCGGAAGCTGCGGCGAAGATGCTCCGTGCAGGAGTCGTCGGAGCCGCAGGAGGCGCTGATACAGGGTGGCGGGAATCACGGCGTTATACACGCGGTGAGATCGACGCCGGCCAGCAGAGAAGCCTCGCCGGCCGCGAAGAGCCTTCAAGATGGTAGCTCGCCGAAGAAACTGCTGCAAACTAGTTCCCTGAGGCTGCCAGGTGAATTTTAATTGACCCAAAACACCAAATCACCGTCGCGAAATTTAAGCGTAGTCTAGTCTTGACGTACACTGTTGAATATTAAAGGATGAAATTTAAGCCAGTTCCTGAGTTAAATAACATTTTGTTATTTTTAACTACCATGAGTGTCGAAATTTATTATTTTAACACAAAGCAGTATTATTTTAACCGCATTGGTTTAGTTAAAGTATTAAATTAACGACATATTAAGTAGGAGCAGTGGTGAGCTATAGAAATAATTAAAAATGACTCAAATTGAGTATAACTTGACACTACAAATTTAATAATGTAATATACCTCATAATGCGTTTATTAAAGTTACTTCTTTACAATTAACTAAAAGAACTATTAAAGTTAGATGTTCAAAATTGAATTTAATGTTAAAAGAATGAATATTTCTTTCGTTTCTGGTTCTCTGCGAGGCCGACTGTATTTTGCACGTGTACATACTTGATAACACAGTATGTTTGCAGGTACGACGAAGGGAATTGCCGACATCCAGCACGTGCTCCGCAGTAAGTTCAGCAAGATAAACGCCGGCATCAGGAAGCGAAAGGCGCTGAGCGTGACGGAAGTGTTCCCCCCGCAGAAGGACAATGCCTCGAATTTCTACGTGCCGAGTCCGCTCACCTCGTCTTCGAGTCAGACCTTCGAGGAGAATCGTTACGACTCGAGCGAGCCGGCGTCCCTGCCGCCGTATCCCTTTCACGATAACCTGGAGACCTTGGCGGAGAGCAGCGTCCCGAACTCACCTCACTGCAACGGCAACAGTTTCGCCTACTCCGCCCAAGACGGCTACGAGCAGAAGGACCTCTACGAGAACGTGGTGTTTTCCAGGTCCTCGCCGTCGTCCTGCTGCCCAAGAGTCCGGCCAGTTCTCCAACGCAGCAACTCGGAGAACCGCGAGGCCAGCGTGCACGATCTGCACTCTTACGAGAACGTGCGCTTTCAACGAGGAGCTGGCGCTCCGCGAGACGATCTGGCTACCGGAAGTCCGTACGCGGGTCGACACCTGGCCAGAAGTAACTCCGAGACGAGGGAGCACGCGTACGAGAACGTGCACTTTCAGAACGCGAAGATCAGGAATCAGTCGGAGCCGTCGTTCGAGGAGATACACATACCCAGAGTGACGCCCAGAAAGAGGTCCACCGATTTCAAGCTCGGCGGACAGGTGAATAATTACTCGGGCGAGGTAGCGTTGAATTCCGCCGGTGGTAAGGAGGACGCACCTGCCAGTCTAGGTACGGAGAGAAGTTCCGGCAAGAGAAACCCGAAGAGGCTCAACAGTAGAAGCGTCGCAAATATCCCCAGCTCTTCGGGCGCGAACTTGAAGACTTGGCAAGTGAGTAGATTCCAATAAAGAAAAAAAGAAAAACAATTTTTAGTTTTTACCAAAGTTTCGTAAGTTTAAATTCGAGTCAATAAAGATTTAGTAGAGAAATATAAACAACGGTATACAATTAAAATGTTAACAAAAGTATCGCCGGTTAAAAATAAAAAAGAAAGACGTAACGGAATGTAAGAAGGTCCAAGTATTTTTCGTAATAAATTCTTTACGGTTCGTTTCTAAAAGACGCTTATTTAGCCTCATGATTATTAAATTGATTATCAATTTAATTACGTGAATTATTTGGCCTTTATTTTATTGAATTATTTGGCTTGATATTGTATTTCAAGTCCGACATTATTCGGCGCGCAGTTTGCTGAGCTGAAAAAGATGTATACGCAAAAATATTAGGCACAAAGATCCAACCCAACCGTAGAAAGTATTTCTATTATTGTGTTATAAAAATAAAATATTTCTTGGCGTAGTATTATTACGGTCTATAGCACGCGTAAATTTTTCTGCGGCTTGAATGCAATGCGATTTTCCTTTCAGGGTACTCAAGACGCGGACGAGGGTCTGAATACCGATTCGGAGCTTGAAGATATTGACGAGGCCGCTGAAGGGGAGGAGTCACGTTTTTGTACCTTGCCAAGACCTGGTAAGGGGAGCGCATCCTTTACGATACTGACCGCCAGATTTCTTAAGGGTCCCGGTCACAAGGGACTCGGCTTCAGTATCGTCGGCGGTACCGACAGTCCTCGCGGAAATATGGGGATCTATGTAAAAACTGTCTTCCCTAATGGTCAAGCTGCTGACTTAGGCACTGTTAAAGAAGGTAAAGCCGTATCCAATAAGTTAATTCAGTATTTAAACCTTTTTTTGAAATAAGAATCAATTTTCATTTAAGATGAGATTATCTCTTCTAGATAATCTTTCCTCGGCTTCTTTCTCTAGATGTTTTTTTTTTTTTAATAATGTCTAAAATAATTTTTATCCAAGCGATTATTTGCAAAAGCAAATTTCAAACATTATTTTATAGATTATAGTTATTTTTGACTTTCAAATAAAATGTAAATATAGTTCAAAATTACTAGTTAAGGGATTACGCTTGTGTGATAATCGTTAAAGATTGCTCTGCAATAGTTTTTATTGTATTATAATATTTATTGTTATATCATTATATTTCCAATTAAGATATGTATTTCACAAAATTCGCTGTATCTTCGCAGGGGACGAAATTTTGTCAATAAATTCGAAACCTCTTCACGGTATGACCCACGCCGAGGCGATCGCCGAATTCAAGTCCGTGAAGGCCGGGGATGTTGTTTTACATGTGGGACGTCGCGTGAACAAGAAGAAGAAAGAAACCTTGAGCCTGGCGCCGGTTAATCCTTCCGTTCCGAGGCAACCCGTCACGTGAATTCGTCTAAAGAACGTCGCAACGACGAAGGATTTTTCCGTTTGCTAAAGTTTCATGAATCCGATCTTTCGTCCTGCAAAAAATCCATAATATAGCAATATCAATAATTATTGCTGGCAATAATACGCGAAAGATCGAGACAGACTGTGGTACGATTTACTTTGTTCTCTTAAGGGTTCGTGAGACGAATTGCGTCAAACTTGTATCTCAAACTTTAATTTTGCCTCTAGCTTCTGTATATCTTTTCATTAAAAACGAGATAAAATTGCGAATGCAAAATTTCATACAATTAGAACGATTTAAAACGTCAAATTTTTGTATAAGTGTTTAAAATAATTTATTAATTTAATGATTGAATATATATATATTAAAAAACGGAAATTTATGCTTTCTAGCGACATTTTCCATAACTTTCTTTTTTGTGTTGTTTTAGTCACGAAAATCGGGCCGAAAGTTGCAACTAAATTCGATTACTTCTCCACATAGTTTGATTGTATGTTCTACGTTAAATGCAGCAAATGCGTTGAGGAAATGCAGCTGAAAAATGTGAATTTACGTTTGTTTCACGACTTCAGGATTAGATTTAAGGGCGGGATGATAAAGTTATTTGCGCGTATTTGCGACTGCGGTAAGTTTTGACGAAATTATGAAGAGATTCACTGACTCAGGTTCATATACATATTCGATATAAGGATCTTGAGTCAGGAAAACAAAACGCGCTTACAATCACGATTTCCGTTATATTTTCTCGATATATAGGGATTGTGAAAAACTGACGATGCTCTTTTGATATATCACAAGAGAGCGAAGAGAAGCAAAGTCTCACTTTCAATTGACATAATCAAACGGTGAAGCGAACACTGTCGAATCAAAACGCGTTTTAACACATTTACTTCCACGATGGTCACTGATGACCAACATTTAGCTTTCCGTTTACGTTTTGTCATGAGCGACAGTCGAATAAATATATTATATTATATTTTGTGTGCAATTTAATAAATTGAGTGTTTTATTATTTTTTTAATATAAAATATATAAAAATATATATAAAATAATCCAATTGGCGTGAACGGAAAGCCATAGAAAAAATTTCTAGATACAGTACTATTAGGATCAAAATAGTGCCAATCATATTTAATATTGAAAGAAGAATATTTTAATCTTAAATAGAGGAATTCTTTCTAAATCTAGAATAATTCTAAGGAAATTAGAAGGATAGCATCAAGATTATTTTATTCTAAATTTAAGAATTCCTCTATTTAAGATTAAAATATTCTTCTTTCAATACTAAATATGATTGGCCCTATTTCGATCTTAATAGTATTATATCTAGAAATTTTTTCTGTGGGTGCAGCTAAAATACACTTTGGAGGTGAATGTGTTAATTGAACGACCGATCTACTCGGTGCCCGCTATATTAAACATTAATATTTATCGATAAACTCATAATCATCGTCTAACGTTATCTATTAGAGACATCGATGTAACGGAGGATCATTGAAGCTTTCGATTAAATCGCATTTTCTCACGTTTACTTATACATGAATATGGAAAATAGACGAATTAAACGTGCTGAGCAAAATTCGGCTATTTATAAAACGGAACTTACCGAATACAACGCAACGAAGTCCTCCAGTTAGCAATTAACAGACGATTTATTTTTATAAAGCGAAAATGTACCGCGCGATTTTTGTACAGTTAATGACGAACAAAGTGACGTTTATTAACGTAGCTTTATGCCGAATCAACGAAGCGAACGGAATCGATCGTGTATCAATTGTACGACAGATATTTATCTCTAATGGCCGAGTGATACGTCATAGAAATATAAAAATCTGACTTCGTCCGAGGGAAATGCAAGGATAACTAAAAGTGGCAAAAGAACGGTGAAATTTTTGTCTAATTTTTTGTCGGATCTCTTATTAAATATAATCTAGGTAGAATAACAGCAATAAACTTACTTTTTTACATCCGATATTGTTAATAATATTAAATATTATCTTATAATTGTATTAATAATAATTTTTATAATATTAATAATTTATTATATGAATTTATACTAATATTTGAGGAACATTTTGCCATTGTTATCTATATCCTGAAATTTTCTTTATGCAGACCCGTGCAATTAGGCACACGATAGGAAACCCAAAGCCCGAACTTTATCGCAAAGTCGTTATTTTTTAACCGTAGACTAACGAAGATCGTCCAAAGATAAAGCCCAAAAAATATTTTTACTACAAAGACGAGAACACGCATAGAGAAAGCGCATATCTATATATTATACATATACATATAGTATATATATATTATATTTTGATCGAGCGAGAGAACGCATTTACTTTAAGAAGAAGCAACATTATTATAGTATCTAGTCGATTTGTAATATTTTCGTTTTTGAGAGCCCATTCTATAGTCACAACGACGAGAGAAAAAAGAGAGAAGAAATTTTTTATATATGAATGCATATATATACAGATATATACACGGTGATAAACACACACGATTATATATTTCTTATATCCATTTTCCAAGGTGTAACGAATCGTATAATCGATCGGTAGATTAAATGATTAGGACTTAGGATCGCCTCGCTAATTCGACAAAGGTAATGTATGCTCCGCACAATAAAACATTTTTAATTAAATTTTATAAAGCATTAATTTCGCGAACGTCCCCCCACCTCTTCCATTTATTAAGTTTTATATAATAAATAAATAATACGAGAGAAACTAAATAATAATAGTTTCTTCTTGGCGAACGAAATGTATATAATCTCTATTAATAAAGCTCACATGCGTGAAAATTATGAAGGAATATAATCAACTAGAGATTCACATTACGGCTAAGAGGAAGGAATAGATACAAAAGGCAAGTGACTTGAGTTTTCAAGCTAAATGTATCGGTGCGGCGCTTATTGTCTGTCGTCCGTTAAAAATTTCTAGTTTCGAGCAATAATGAATGTCGGCGAGAATGCGTTGAAAGGGAAAAAAGCGGGGGTTATTTGATGGATTCCTAGCGGGGTAGCACAATTTCTATTTCTAGAATATCTTCAACAACCTTCTAAATATATTATCCGGATAACTTTGACGATTTTTTGAAGATTTCGGACGATGCGAAATCTAGCTAACTCTCGCCTCGGAATATTTCTTTATCACAACTTTATTTTTTCACGATCTTTCAAGCATCTGGAAAGATGCGTAATAAAAAAACATCCGCAATTGCTTGATTATAATGTAATATAAATTATTAAAATATTAGTTAAAATATTTTATTTGTTAAATTATTACATTTATTAATTGTATTTGTTAAAATAATTTATTTATGTGGCATTTTGCATATAAGATATAAAACGATAGTAAATTGAAACTGCTCGAAATGCATTTGTTCTTTCTGAAACGGCAAAATACATTTTCAAAATTTTTTTAAAAATAATTTTTTATAAATTAATAAGTACTAGTATAAGTATTAATAAATAACATTTATATATACATCGATTTCGGGTACTATTTTACAAAAGGAGATTTTTTGAATATCCTTGAATGAGTAGCTAGTAGGTTAGAAAACCGTAAACAATATAAATAAATATTTTGCCGTATAAATATTGAAAAAATGTTGAAAAAATGATGAAAAAATATTGAAAAATATTGAATAAACACGTTTATTTCATGCGCTAAGAATATTATAGGCTACGTACTTAATATTTTGCAAAATTGCATTCTGAATAATTTAGACTATACTTGTAGCACACAGAGTACTATTGAAATGCAAAGAAAGTAATAGTTAATTAATTCTAACAAGAAAACGGAATTATTAGATGATTTTATTTTGACGCTTTCAAGAAGTTTAGATAAGACAATTAGATTTAAACACGAAGTCTTGATCACTGTTTGTTATTATTCTTTGTCCTTTATTTTGCTTGATGTATACCGGCGATTCCAAGTTTCTATGTTAGTCTGACAGAGCATCACACATAAAGGCAACTCTCGGTTGAACGTTGGAATCATCTTTCTTCTTTTATTCGTCTTGACAACTTATGTAACTTTTAAGGTCGATTCAGACACAGCCGTGCCGTATCCGTATCGTGTACGGAACAAAAACATCAGACAAGGATACCTATTGTCTCCATTTTTGTCTAATGTTGTCTCCATCCTTGTTTAATGTTAACGATACGGATACGGTACGGGTACGGCACGGCTGTGTCTGAATCGACCCTTAATCATAAATTATTTTCATTTTACTATCGCATTGGCAAATTATGACTTTGATTTTACCGTTTATACAGTGGGCACTAAGTAGAGGTTTATTTTTGCCGTCACCGATTACAATTCTTCGGAAATTAATGTTAAATTTGGGAACTTTATTTTTCACGCTTTCTAATGACGAAAATTGTCACAACATTCTATTGACTCTTGACTGAATTTCATTGTCACTTACATATATTATGTTGTATTAATTATTAATTATTATGCTTACGCAATTCAGTTAAGTCCGACGATTAATCATAGCTGTTTTATCTAACTTTTACGTATTGACGTATTGCGTTCGATTATTACTCCATTTTATGTATATTATCAAATTATTATAAAATAACTAGTAAATATCAAATTATTTTATTATTGTTCGTCATCTTCTCAATTTTATTTATTTTGTGACATATAAGTTCTTTTGCTTTCTGAAAAAACTAAGTAAGTCGAAACATAAAAACTATTTGTATTTATATTTTAGATTATTATAATAAAATCGTTTTTGTTGGTTTAAACTAGGTATGTATAGCATCCTTTGTTTTGCTTGAAATTTAACGGTTTGATTTTCACTTTAGCTTTGCTTTTATCGATCGTAAAGTTTTTTTTTACTGTATATTCAACATGTCATCTATGTAAATAATAAATAGAGACCGGATCGCGGTGCCGTTTTCTCTATTCCAAGCGCGTGCTAGCAGTCGTGAGAAGGAGTACCCTCTACACCGCGCCGCGCCGATCTAGCGGTGTAGCGTAGCAAATATATATATTCATTTATTTATGTAATTATTCTCACGGCGCTTGATGGCCGCTAGCACACCTTTGAAGTGAGAGGAATGGCACCGCAATCCGGTCTCTAATAATAAATAATCTTTGGAGAAGAATATCGAAAATTCATATTTTGACAGAAGTATCGAAAATTTATATTTTGCTTGCAATTTAATTTTCAGTACTATTATCACCTTGAACACAATTTTGAGGATATAAGGAGAAATTAACAATAATTTTAAATATTTTGAATTTATACACATAAAAAGAAAATTAAATATATTTTGCACTTTTAACAAATCGCAGAGATAAGGTAAAAATATTCCAATAGATGACCTGAGTAAATTTTATACGGAATTTGAAGCATTAAAATGAAAATGCAATACACTGCTTTTTGTAAATTCAAAGCTCATATCAACGTATTATAAATAATAATATTTCTATATTAATA